ATAGTTGTAGTGAAATTGCCAACATATCTAATAAATATTTAGAAATATGGAGTAAAACGGGTATATTAACAGGAATGTGATCTACAGGTGTAGCTCTAGTCCTAGGTGTTGTACTGGTTGAGGTCCCCAAACAGCCTGTGGTAAGAAGCTTCTCCTCGTTCTCTGTTGGCCGAGGTCCTTCGCTAGCTTCCCTGGCCTTGCCCCAGCACCGCTTGCTGTAGATAGACTGCGGCTAATTTTGTGTCGACAGCCCCTCCCACTAACATGTTTATGGGAAGTGGGAAGAAACATGACAGCCCAGAAGAAATCCACGCAGCCAGCTCAGGACTGAAACAGATACCCTGGAGGTCTGAGGCAGCAGCACCATCAGCTACGCCACCATGCTCCCCATAAATATTGTTGCAATTTTAACTTTAATTAAAACAAACCCCATCCCTATCACGCGTTACACACTTCTCTTGTGACCGTCTATGAATGTTTAGCTCTTATCAATTCTTGCCAAACACATTTGTTTGATTAAAATCAGGAATCTGGAGTGTATTAATCAGGTAACTAGGAAAATATGTCTTAAATAGTCTCAAAAAGTCTCAAAAATGGCAAAAGCTATGTTTTTCTGCCCTAGCCACGAACCGTCAAAAAGCTGTCGTGCCAGCCCTGTAGCAAACGTTAACCGGGCTGCTAATTCATTCATTCATTTGATCACAATTACAATAATAATGGGTTGCCTCACAAATATGATGCTTTTCTTACTATGCATGTGGCCCATGAGGGTTCCTAACAAACTGGTCAGTGTGTCTATGCCTAAACATTTTTACATTCATTCCCAGCTCACGCCAAGCATCTGGCAACTGAGATCCCACAGCTTCTGTGCCGTTTCATCGTCTCTAGCAGCTCTTGTGCAACTTGCAGGTCTACAGTTGCTGTAAAGTGGCAAAAAGGAAAATGATTACACCATGATCAATGATTATACTTCATGCACAAGTGTACCACGAGCACAATTATACCTCTGAGATTTAGTAAAACACCTGGAGACAATTAGCAAACCATATGGGCTCGTAATCACCTGAAATAGCCGCCACTGTGTGAATCGAGGGCTGGCTCCACAGCGCAGTAGATTGAAGTCTGAGCTCCCTGCACTGACGTCTTGGTGAAAGGCCTGACCATTTTCCACATGCAAAGGAGCCCAAGATTCATGTGCCTCTTTAGTTCAGTGCGAACGATGCCTGGGTGGACAGCATATACTGTCACTCCTGTGTCTGTTCAATGTACAGTACACATACAATCATTATATTTATATAATGCTCTTAAACGCTCGCTTCTGATTGGTCAGAAGGAGGTGACAGTACAGTCCATAAGGAGAGGTTTATTTCGCTTGTAGTTTTGAAGTCTCCAGTGTCAGTGCTTTGATGTAAAGCTCTAATTTTTACGTTTTCTGACACTGGAATGTCTTCAGGATGAAAGGTGTTACAGTGTTAAGGTGTTTCTTGGTAACTTGACAAGCTGCAATATTTGTCTTATTAACCCTAAGGGAGTTCAAAAGAGAGGCTGGTGAGAGAAAGATTGTTTACAGCAGTTGATATGACCTACATTAGTGACAGTAACTTGTTCTGCAGGCATTCCCCAGCATTCAATGTAACTGAAAAGGAATCAAATGTATGATAAAAGTTGTAGTTGTTGGCAAATTGCTGTGGTATAAGAGGAATGAAGCGAAATTAAACGAAAAGCTGACGTTACACAGCGGTAAACATTCGACAGTCCCGACTTTTTTGGAGTGTGTTGCAGTCATCAGATTTGAAACGAGGGTGTATTTTCAAAAATAAATAAAATTCACAACGCAAAACATCAAATAATATGTTCACTATTACAGGGTGCAATTATTCACTCTTGTTTTTTGCTTTTTGTTGTGATTAACCGTCTCTTGCTGACTGTTGAGGTAAATTATAATATCTCAAAAGGAAATGTGTAATCAATTGATCAATTTGCTAATAATAGTGCTAGCATTATTATTAAAGGCATCACTTTAGCACCTTTAAGTCTTTTGGCCAGGGATCGAACACAGAGGATATTTGCTAGCTTGCTCTGTCCATACGCCCTCCTGCTGTGGTAACTCCTCTCACTGTTGATGTCATCCAGTTTGATGGTGCCCCAGCTATGAGCCATGGACGACAGGATGATGATTCTTGACGGTGCAGACTTTTTCAGCAAATCCATCAGCAGCAGAGTTAGCAGGAAGTGGCCTAGAAGGTGACCGTGTCGGTACTGTCAGAGCCAGCGCAAACTAAATTGAACTGCATTTACATAACCTGGCATTAATAGATTTTTCAGAAAGCTACAGAAACATTATCAAATTAGTCAATGATGAACGTACAATTATGAAATACTGTAGGTCTGAGCTTCAGCTTAGATGAAAAGAAATCCAAAAAAAAAAATATTTTACCCAAATGATTGACTCCAAATTGCATCTCAAAGCCATCGGCTGTCTTAGAATAGGGGCACATCATGACTCCAGCATTGTTTACAAGAATATGTAATTGCTTCTCCTCTGAACAGGTCAAAGAGAATAATGTGTCCAATTTTGTATATTTTTTTAAAATATTGCTCATTATAAAAAAGTATTATGTATCGATATATGTTACAATATATACAAGCTTCTTACAGCTACAGATGTCATTCCATAAACCACATCACAGGAGGTTGTAGTCGATCTTCACTCACCATTGTTTATGACCTCTGCAAACTCTCTGATTGATTTGGTGTCTGCCAGATCTAGCTTCCTGATAATGATGTTTTGGCTGCCTGACTCTGTAGCAATCTCTTTCTGTGCCGCTTCAGCTTTGACAATATCTCTGCAAGCCATGATGATCCTGGCCCCTATGAGACAGCACTACAAAACCTGACTAGCCGTCATGTAACGGTTACGATTAAACAATTGTGACTTTTCTCTTCTTGTGTATTTCTTGCTTAGATGCTGTCTGATTACTTTATGATCTAAAGCAGCGCTCACGAACCCTCTTCCTCGAGATCGACCTTCCTGCAGGTTTCACCGCCAAACAAAATCGAACACTCCTGTTTTAGTTGATCAAGAATGTCTTAAGGCAGTGATTAGATGGTCAGGTTGGAGCTAAAAGTCTTCAGGAAGGTAGATCTTCAGGAACAGGCTTGCGGACCACTGATCTACAGAATCATATCTTTGCAAGTATAGTACACCGTCAACAAATGAATATGATGCTTACCTCTTTTTGCTAAATATCTTGTTGTTTCTTTTCCAATGCCAGTGTTGGCTCCTGTAATGATGACTGTTTTGCCATCAAGTCTTACCATGGAAGACCACTCACCGAAGAAAAATGCCCTAACACAAGATGATGATGGAAGATGAGCCGCTGAATACATTCATTTTTACAGTCTAAAAGAACCCAAACAAATGTATCATATAGGCTTTTGTGGCTGTCCATCCCATGATAAAAAAAAAGGGATTTCTTTACATAACACATAACATTACGTGAATTAACACAGCATGCGATACTACAGTGAACATACAGTAATATGCAGAAGTTCAGTTTACCTCAGCGTATATATGTTGGCCATCTTGTTCTCACAGCAGAAAATAACACATCTATGGACAGAAAATGCTTACACACACTTTCAGAGTGTGACGTGCCATGTGTTGGTCTGGATTAGTGTTCAGCTAATCCACAGCTAATCTCCAATGGAGGGTTCAAAACCACTGGCCCACTGTTCATTAAGCTTGTGTGCTTTCCTGAAGCGGCCATGTATCCCCCACACTGTACTCCCAGTGAAATCAGATAAATAAACCGGGTATACTGTACTGACCCTGTCCAGGTTGTACCCTGCCTTGTCCCCGATGTTCCCTGGGATAGGCTCCAGGTTCCCCCGCGACCCTGATGAATGAGTAAGCGGGAGAAGATGGATGGATGGATACTGTACTGAGCAGGGCTTGCTAACAAGTACACTGCAGTATCTGAATAGATGGGATGCCAGGTGTTCGTGAAATACTGAAATAGTTCAATAAAAGAGTATTAGTACATGGTGGAAACGCTTAATCGTGAATGTTTTAATACATTAGAATAAAAAAATGAATTGTAGAGTGGTGTTATTTATTGTATGCGGTGCAGTACATTTGCTAAGTTGCAGCCAAGTGTAAGAGAGTGAAAAAAGAGTGTTATGAAAGTAAGAAGGATTATGTTAGGCTTATGTTAATTCTCTTTATACAAAAAAAAAAAGACTAAAGTATGGAGACCATTTAGCTGCATTACTTACTCTTATTACTGTCACATCCAAATCCACTGTCAATTCATGAATGCCTAATCTTATACAGGGCATTAACTCACTCTCACTTATTGGTCTACTGAACTCACCTGTTTCCTGTTAATGTCCTCATTTACTTTCTGAGTATTTATACCACATGGAGATACAGTAAGCAGTGTTCTGGGTTTCGGGGCTGATTCTGAGCTTGGATTATTGTCTGTGTGGGTTTCCTGAAGGTTCTCCAATTTCCTCCTACCTACCAAAAACATGCAGGTGAACTGACTAGGCTAAATTGGCCATAGATCTGATTGTGTGTATGTGTGTGTGAATGGTGTTCTACAATGAACTCGCACCACAACGCGGATGTATTGCCGTTTTATACACTCGGTGTTTCCGGGATAGGTTCAACATCCACCAAGATTGACCAGGATTAAGCATTATTATTAACACAATACATGAGGTTTTGCCCTGCCAGGGTGCATTTCTGAGTGTTCTCTGTATATTATTCCTGTTTCCTTACTTTTTATTGCTATCCCTTATTTTGACTGCCCTGCATTGCGGTTTGCCTGACATTCGACCCCTGAGTTATTGACCCCTGCTGAATTGGATTGTTAATACCGCTATCTGCCTCCATGATTTTTTAAAATTTATATATATATATATACTGCTCAAAAAATTAAAGGGAACACTTGGAGTTACATTGTGCTGTTTAAGTGCTCCCTTTATTTTTTTGAGCACGGTGGCTTAGTGGTTAGCACCTGCACCTCACACTTCCAGGGCCCAGGGTTCGATTCCCGCCGGAGCATCCGTGTGCTAAGTTTGCATATATTTGCAAAAGTATGTGAACTCCTGGCCTTCACATCCATATGTTCCTTTGTGCAATGTCCCTGTGCACAAAGCGAGGTTTGTTAAGACCTCGTACGCCAAGGTTGGAGTGGAAGTATTTTCAACCCTACTGAAATGGACAAATCCTTCTGCTGCTGTAAAGGAGAAATTGACTGTCAGATAAGCAATGTGAGAGGAAACGGACAGTTGATTGCCCATGGTTACCCCAACTCGATACTCAAATAGACAAAAAATAAAATAAAATAAAAATTCCAGCTGCATTTATATTCCATGTATCTTATGTCTATTTTACTCAGTAATCGCAAATAGCCATAAAGATGGATGATATATGTTAGTAATGTATACCTTTTAAGCTGTTAAGATTGCGATGTACTGTACGCTGCTGTTTCCTCGTATTGTCTAACTAATGATCTCTACACTGAAGTTGCATCAGAGGAAACTTTAGCAGCTGGTTCCTTGTACCACAGGTTTCATGTCATTATTCGTTAAACTGTAACAAGCTGTTCTGAAAGGAAAGACTAGCATGTTGACCTACCTTCATTTGGATAGGGTGTAAAGGTCACGAAAGTGGAAAATCACAATCTGTGTGCATTGTATTCTTATGTTACGTCATCGACAGTGGATTTCCATTGTCTTTTTTTTTTTTATTTCCATGTTTATTTGTGATAAACTGACTCTTCTCTTTCTTCATGGTTTCTATGTACTATATATAGAATGCACTTTCTGTACTGAGTTGGTCATAATATAAAAAATAATAATAATAAAATCCCATTAAAATCACAAATGCCCTTAGTTTACACGTTGTGTACGGTCTGCCTTTGTTAATCTTTAAACTCATTGCACTTCCTCAAGTTTGTGAGGGTTGGCACGGGAGAGAGAAGCTCCACACTGACTGATTTTTTTGCGTTCAGTGAATTGAAAACCTAAACTAGTATTTCAAGTATGAATGGGTGAGTCATTTTTAAAGTGAACTATATATGGTTAATGCATTATATATGGCAAAACATTCCATAAAAATGTCCGTGTGTTATACTTGTGTCTCAATATCTAACTTAAAACATACCAATACAATGTGTTGTTTTATATTATAATACACTGGTATCTAAAGTATACCATTACGTGAACATACGATCAGGAAAAGATGAATCAAAGTTAATCCTCGATACTTTTTTTTTAAACCCTGTATATGAGTCATTTGTTTATCTTCAAGCATTTTACTAAATTAATCAACAACTCTAGGGAGATTTAATGGGAAAGGTGTGTAGTGATGAGAGGAACGTATATGAGGATGGATTAAACACAAACGCAAGCAAGCATTGCTGAGTGAGTTTGTTTAGAAAAAGTAGAAAAAGAAAATCAAGAACATTTTATGTGATTAATCTAATGCACAGTGTGTTTCCATTCTGTTTGCGTTATATCTTTGTATAATCGTGTGCGCTGTTATGCTTGGACATAACACAAAAAAAGAAAATGTTGTTTATTGCATGCATCTATTTATTTATTCATTTTTAGTAAAGGTCCCCCTTCTGAATATTATGATATATAATATTATATATGATATCATAATATTAAGATTGACTTGAATATTAAATGAACACAATAGAACTGCTTATACAGTGTGTGTGCATGTATCTATCTATCTATCTATCTATATATACTATGTATATAATACAGTTTTTAGATGATAATGTTATTTATTAAAGCAAAAAAATGTATCCAACACTAACTGCGCCTGTGTGAAAATGTATTTGCCCCTGTAGTTACTAATTCCCCAAATTTATGAAACTGCATTGATAATGGGGTTCCGCTGGACTAGACACACCCAGACCTGATTACTGCAAACCCTGTTCAACCACATCGACACTTAAGTAGAACTTTTTCAACAGCATGAAGTTGTTTAAAAGATCTTACTCAGTAACACACTATGCCAAAGTTGAAAGTAATTCCAGAAATGATGAGGAAGAAGGTGATTGAAATACATCAGTCTGGGAAGGGTTACAAACTATTTCAAAGGTTCTGGGACTCAAAAGGACCACAGTGAGAGCCGTTATCTCCAAATGGAAAAACTCTGCGCAGTAGTGAACCTTCCCAGAAGCGGCTGATCTTCCAAAATTCCTCCAAGAGCACAGATACGACTCATCCAGGAAGTCACAAAAGAGCCAAGGACAACATCAAAGGATCTACAAGCGTCTCTTACATCAATGAAGGTCACTGTTCATGACTCCGCTATCAGAAAGACACAAAAGATATTTAATGCTACATAATGTTTTTGTTTTTTTCTGAAACTGAGTACCTCAGATAGTATTCTTTATGTGAAATGAATGTTGGCAATGCTGTCATGTCAGCATTCTTCGTTACTCATATCACCAACTATTCTTTAGAACAAACATTCAGCATCCTGTGTTAGCCTGCAGTAAAGGAAGTCTGTAGTAAAGGAAGTCTGTCACTTCTGCTTCCCAGAGTAAAATTTCACGAATTAAAATTTCCAACAAACACCCATACTTAATACTGGCACCCTGCCCAGGGTGTAACCCCGCCTTGTGCCCGATGCTCCCTGGGATAGACTCCAGGCTCCCCCGCGACCCTGAAAAGGAGTAAGCGGTAGAGGATGGATGGATGGATGGATGGATGGATGGATGGACCCACACTTAATATTACAGGTATGAGGGAAGTAAAACAACATTCTTGTTTTGATCACTATAGTACAGAAGTGCCCAAACTAGTGACTTTTGATTTGGCCCACCATGCCATATATGAGAAGAGGGAAAGTGTTGAAAAAGAATGAATGAAACTGGGGGAATATGGCTGGTATTACAATCGATGGAGTCCCGGCAATGGTAGGGAGGAAATCTGGCCTTGATACCTTGGTGTCTCAAAGTCATTGAATGTGGGAGGAAAGTGGTAAAGTACTACTGTATTTTACATCAAGTACAGCTATGTACCATATCCATCAGGCTTGTGTTGTTTGCTCAACCCTTCATTATCAGTGTGGACACAGTCAGTGATGATCTTCAGATGGAACTAATTGAGCTTCATTGAGATCTTCATTAAGATCTCAAACACAAGTTCAGGTCCCTTCCCTTGACAGACTTCTACAAACGTGTCCCATCAAACGGGTACCTAAAGTTATGCAAACAGGCACAAGTGATGCTGTCTCTGTTCGGCAGTACCTACCTCTGTGAGCAGACTTTCAACCTGATGAACTTGAACAAGTGTAAACTGAGAAGCAATCTAACTGACTCTCACCGACAAAGTAAGTCAGCAATTTTGAAAAAAACTTTTGAAAAATAAGGACCAGCTTCATGTCTATCCATAGATGTCACTGATATTTCAAGCATATGGCTGCATTGCTTATAGCTTGAATTATTAGGCATTGAACTCTACTGTACTATAAATGGGTTTGTTTCTATGTTTTCATTGTACTATAAGTTTCATTGCACTATAAACCTTGGAAAATAAACCTGCCTTAGTTAAGCAGATTACAGAGTAATGTTTTCTATTTATTTATTTATTTTTATTTTTATTTTTTTTATTATTTATTTTATTTATTTATTTATATTATAAATGAGGGGAACCATGGCGACTTTCATTTTAATATAATACAGTTTGGTATAATGCAACGTTAACTTTCGGCCCGCAGGCCCTCATTTGAGTTTGGTTTTTGGCCTGTCACGGGAAAAAGTTGAACATGTTTGCCTAATCAGTCTTGACTCTGATCAAACTTCAACTGGAACTAAGTTCTGTGTATTTTATTACAATACGATATAAGATAATAATAATAATAATAATAATAGAAACAATAAAATAGATCAGTGTCTTGGTCAGAGTTCTTGGTCATCTATTACACATGTTTCAAGTGATATATTTTCTACCGTCACCCTATAAGGCCACATTCTAAAATGTCATTTACAAATAAAACCACTTCGGTAGTAAGGCAACTCAAGCTGTGTATACCAAGTAATGACAAATTCTGCCTGATTATTGCCTTTTTTAGGAGCGAAAGCAACTGGACAAATGCCCGCCTACCGGACGAATACAGGATCAGCCTGGTGGTTCTCTACCTGTTTGTCTTTATTGGCGGGATCATCGGGGTGATAATGATGAGCTCCACCCTTATGTCCAACATGCTGTCTGTCACCAGAGTGTCAGTGATCAACCTGCTGGTGGTGCACGTGATGTTCCTCCTCACTGTACCCTTCCGTGTCTACTATTATGTCTCCTCTCACTGGGAACTAGGCTTCATCTTTTGCAAGCTGGTCAGCAGCATGCTTCTTGTGCACATGTACCTCAGCTTCATCTTCTACGCCATCATACTGTGCACACGATACCTGGCTTACTTTCAATGGAGACACCGACTGGAATTCTACCGAGATCTGCATGCTGTAATAGCCAGCGTGACCATCTGGGTCATCATTGTGGCTATCGTTATCCCTTCTACCGTCATCACTTATGGATCAGGAGCGACTACAAATGGCAGTCAGTGCTTTGCCTTTGGAATTGCTCTTAATCATACAAATGTGAAAGTGCTGAACATAATCATCTGCGTTGTGGTGCTGTTGATCTGGTTGATGTTGGCCTCGTGTCAGTGTTACATACTGTGGTGCGTGTGCCGAAAGCATGGGAAAGTCTCTTTGGCTCATCAAGAGTTCTGGGCTCAGATCAAGAGCCTGTGCTTTGTGCTGATCATGCTCATTTGCTATGTGCCATACCAGGCCTTCAGGATCTACTATGCATACATATATTGGCAAGGACTCGAAAAAGTCAATGAGGTTTTTCTGGCTGTCACAGCTTTCAGCTGCTTTGACATGCTAGTGTTTGCTGGCAGTAGCGTGTGGCGACCTTCGTACAAAATGTGCTGTAATTCATGATTTCGAAACTGTATTGATTGACACATCTCTCTCTCTCTCTATGTGTATATGTGTGTGTGTATATATATATATATATATGAGAGAGACACAC